CAAGAAGTTTTAGATCAAATGGTTCAGTTGACACAAGATCAGGAGGCTAAGAAAAATTATTTCTTATTCTAAAATCAGAGTAAGTTTCTGATGCATAAATGACACACAAAGCTAGATTCTGGGGTACAGGAAGGGCATGGCTCTCCAGCTTAGAAAGGTTTTGCTCTGCCTAGCAAGCTTCAAGTCATCAAAAAGGGGCCAGGGTCCCTCAAGAAAAAGATGCACTGCTCCAAATTTATCCCAACATTGTATACTTACATTAATGTCACTACCACCTCTGAAAACTGAACTGCATGTAAACCTCAAACAGCAACAGAAATTTGAGAAGTCCCTCTTCCTCCTGAATACCATATTTAAAACCCTAAACACTTTCTAGACATTGCTGCTTACAGTAGAGTATCTAAATAGAAATATATTGAAGAATTCAGATGAAAGTCATCAAGAGGCCTCATAAGCAGGAAAATAACTGCTATATTTAAAAAATTCAGAGAGAAGGGGGAAATTAATCAAGCCACATAGTATAAGGAAAAAGGAAAAAAAGGGAAGTAGTAATTAACAGAAGAAAAAATAAAATGTTTAGCAGAAGAAAAAATAAAGGACAACTTTCCAAGCAAGATCCACGGCTCCAGTTCTAAAGAAGGGAAAAAGAAGATCCAAGATTTTCTTCAACCTATTTTGGTAACAGAGACTATGAAATGAGCATCCCACTGGATGCAGACTAAAATTATTAAGACTGAAAAGTGTAACTTCTTGAAAGCTAAAATCCCAGAAGAGTCACATGATACAAGGTAACAGTTACCAGAAGAATCATTGCTAAATGCTCATCTGAAATCTAATCTTATCTGTCCTTCAAAGACAGCGGGAGAAAGAAGGGGGGTGGGAAGAGGGGGGGGGAGCAAAGGAAGGAGAGTTAAAAGAAAAAATAGACTAATATTAAAAACAAGAGCTACCGTGCTATATTCAGTTTTCCTGCTCATACGAGGAATCCCCATCTGCAAGTCAAAAGATTTCCATCTCATTTTGCAACTGCCTGCACACTGAGGCAATCTTACAAATGGATCACTGAAGAAAAAAAAAAAAAGAGGGAAAGAGAAATGGTACACAGAAACAGCAAGTAAAGCAGAAAATATGGATCATGCAACTGCATTATCCCTTACATAGGGACCAAAACCAAAGATTTGGACAGGCATTGTCTAATGAAGAGGGGAGTGGCTGAGCTGAGCTTTGCACTGTTATGAAAACAATGTCAACTATGAGCTGCTAAAGCAGAGTATCGGTTAAATGACTAACTGAATCAGCAGAGTCATAGCATGAACAGCAATCACTTCTGTCAGACTGACACTGTATTTTAAAAACAAAAACATTGCACAACTTTAGTTCCACTATCAGAATGTACATGACAAGTGAAATTTAAGCTTATTTTAAACAGCCTAAACCTCGTTATCTGCAGAATAAATCATGCATCCAGCAAAAGGCTCTTTCAGGTTCTCTGCATGGTAGATCATCTCTGAAGGGGTCACTGAACTCCATTCATTTAATGGAATCACAAGCTCTAAGGCCTGCTTATGACTCTGCAACTTAAAAGCTCTTTGCAATTAATTAAAAGACCAAAGAAGTCTTTAAACAAAGACTGAAGAAAATATAATTTTTTTTAAAAAGCTTTAAACATATCATCCATTCTTGGCTACTACCAAGCTTAACATTTTCCTATCACTTAGGAAATTAGGGTGCCTCAGAACTAGGCTCCTTTACCTTGTAATCACTACTGCAAGTGAAAGACACAGATCAGCTCCTATCATCAGCTTTTCTGAATGCAAGGTGAAAAATCTCACCATTTCCTCCTCAGTGTCAATACCCCTATCATCATTACCATAATCAAACTAAAATTAGGAAAACGCATTTGCTACGACTTTCAAGGCCAGATCTCACATTCATTTATCCCACATCACTGCACACCCTGATTCCCTGTATTATTTTGTCTACATCACACTCCTAGCAATCTCATAAGGCAAATTTTGCCATTCTTCTCCTGGTTCCTCTAGCTTTGCTTCTCATTTTCTCTAGTACTGAAATCTGTGCAGGCCCTCAGTCTCTCTCACAAAATGTAAAGCTTTTTCTCCCCTCACACTAAGAGCTCTGTGCAGCAGAGCACACAGCTCACTGATCAAAAACACAACTCTTCGTTTACAGGTACTACAATAACAGGGAATTCCACTCCATTCCATGCACCCACCTGCAGTGCCTCTCCATTTTGGTTGCAAACAGGAGGATGGACTTTTTCCATTTTCAGAGCCTCAAAACGACGACAGAACTCTCACCCATTCCACCTGCTTATCTTTTAGTATTCCTGCCTCTATACCTCTAGTCTCCCCATTGGCACAACCTTCCTTCTAGCAGGTGCAACACTGGCATGTGTACCAGTTCTGAATGCTAGGAGAGAAAAACAATCAATACTATCAATTCCACACTGCTGCTCCTTCTCCACTGCATCAAAAGCAGAAAGGTTGTCCAGCTGCAGACTCCAGGAACAAGAGACTGCACTTGCCTGCATGAGGCTGATTTTTAGAATGCACTGATGACAGCCTATAGAAACTCAGCCCATTACACCTGAAGAATATTTTATTCCTACTTCCCTGCCCCTCATATATCTTATATGTGCAAGCCTTTCAGTTTTTCATAATTACTCCAAATAATCTAAATATACCCATGCTGTTCAATTCCACCCTGTAGGCTGCCTAAAATTTTCATTCTCCTTCTATTCTACCTTCCTGGCCTTTTTGACAGCATCTAAGTATAATCTTTCACCCCAAAATAAGACCAGAATCACCCCATACTGCTTTTGCCTACTATTTTCCTTTCTTGTCAGTATTTCAAATTAATTCTACATTCACTTATTATATGCTTCAGCCACAGTCCCTCTGGTACCTTTTTCCAGTCTGTAGCTTCAGCACTCCCAATGCACAAGTTCTGACTATTCCACCCACTCACCTGAATGTCATTCTTAGCTTTCCTCTGTACTTAGGATTCTATGTGCCTGCCCCCTAGCCATTCTTTTCTCTCTGCATCATAACTGCATTTTCCCCTTTCCTCTCTTGAGAAGTAAATTATTCACAGGATTAACAGCACAAACCTGTTCTTTAATCTACAGTCAAATATTGAATCACTTTAGAAAGGCTGGCAGCTCTCAGCAGAAGACTCAGTGCATCTTTCACTTTCTCACAGCCTTTTCTGCAAAAATATAGTTTCATTAAAATAAAGTTCTTATTTTATATAGGAAATTACACCACAAAATTTTAGGTTTAAAAACTACTTCCTCTAAAAAGAAATCTGTAGACTCAGATGCCAAACAGGTATTGCTTGCCTTCGAAAATTTATTTGTTGCAGTAGGTAAGTTTTCAATGAACAAATATGTAATGTAAAATGATCTGTTGTGAGCACTCAGCAATTTAAAAAAAAATAATTTGTGCCTGTGAGTACATAAGCTCTGAGAAAAGTATCTTTTCTAGATATAGGATGCAGAATCTCCTCTTTAAAGATAAATCACATCAATTATTCAGTTAACACTATCAGTGTAAATTTCTTTAATCAATGTGAAAGAATATTTCTTCTTGTTATTATAATATGGTTCCAAGATTTACTAACATGACTCTTTTTAACACTGGTAGGACACTACAGTAATCGGAGCAAATATGGTTATTAATTACACAGCTTTGCAAGAAGGATATTGGATGAGTTTCTTAGCAGCTATCCTTGAAGACACAATGACTTCACCAACATCAAACGGGTACTGAGCATCGTTTCTAAAGGCTTTTTCCCAGTCACCTTTTGGACAGGAACAAAGAAGGAAAAAAGTCCTAAAATGGAACACTTGAAAGCACTGAAATTACATACTTAAAACCCACCTGTACACCACCAATCAAGATCCAAGTAAATAATTTAAAAAAATCTCAATGGTCAGTGAATCATAGACTAAGATACTTATGGAAATTAGAGGAAAATTCACTAAGGCAGCCCAGACAACCTAATCGGCAGACAAAAAGGCATATTGATATTTGTCTACAAACTTAGCTGATCCTATAATTACAGGTATAGGCCACAATAAAAGTAACCTAAATTTACACAACAGCTGTAATTTATCTTTCCTTTAAAATAAAGGAAACTTGATTAAACTTCAATGTTTAATCAAACATGTACATTTCAAATTCCTCATATTTCAATGCATATATAAAAGCATCAACATCTGGTTTAAGGTCACTGGAGACTGGGAAAGGACACACTAGGAATAAAAGCATGTATTCTTGTACTATTATCATGTATTAACGTATTGTCTTTTAGTTCCCAAGATTTACTGTTGATCACAGCAGGAATCCAAGCAAGACTCATGCCTGACATCTTGTCCTACCTCGTATGGCCATTTTTGTCCACTACCACTAATGAACTAACCCAGCACTCCTCCTCTTATCCTGAGGACCTCGAGCATTCTTTGGGAGATGTGATCTTCAAAAAATAAAGAAAGCCTGGAGCAGCAGCCACATGACATCTCTTAAGTCTAAGTATCTAAATTTTAACTGCATTTTAACTAGTACTCAATGACTTAGCCTGTAAAAATTAATAGCCTAAGAAACTAGATTATTTAGGATTTAATTTTTAAATTACGGCGGTATTTTGCAACATGTTCTTCGTTTTTCCCCCCAATTCAATTTTGTTCGCCCATTTCTAATAAATTACTCGGCATCCTCATTTCCCTAATAGGTAAGAAAACCTAAGGCCTCTGGCAGCTTCTGGCTGACGCCATCGCCAATTCCACACCCCCTTTTTTGACAGGATCGACGGCGGACGGAGCCGCGGCTGCCTTCCCCACGAACCCACACGACGCCGGCGATGTGTGCGCGGCTCCGGCGCTGCCGCAGGCGCGGCCCGCCCGCCGCCGGGGCAGCCCCAGCGGGGCCGCTGCGCTCGCTGCCCCTTCCAGCCCTCCCCGCCCGGCCCCCGCCGCTCACCTTTCGGGAACAGCAGCTTCACCTCCCCGTTCTCCTCCCGGCTCAGGGCCCCGCCGCCATCTCCCGCCGCCACAACGGGCAGCGCCCCGTGCTTCCTCCTCTCCTTGTCCCGCTTTTCCTTGGGTCTCTTGGGCTTGGCGCTGCCACCGCCGCCTCCCGCCTCGGACGCCAGCGCCAGGCGGTGCCGGTGGTGGCGGTGCTGGTGCTGCGGCTGGGACGAGGAGGGGGAGGCGGACGGCGGCAGCAGCACCGCGGGCGGCAGCAGCTTCCGGGACAGCGGGGAAGGGAAGGCGAAGCCCCCCGCGCCCGCCGAGGGGCCCGAGGGCAGCGCGGCGAAGCCCCACGGCCCGGGGCCGCTGTAGCTGGGCACGACCGCGGGCAGCGGCTGCTTGGCGCTCCCGCCACCGCCGCCCCCTTCACCGTTGACGCGCTTAGCGCCCTTGAGGCTCCGCTCCTCGGCTCCCTTCACCTTCTTGGCGGCCGGCTGGGATCCGCGGGAACCTTTGGCGTCCGGGGCCGTCCTGGCGCCGAGCAGCTCCGGCTCGGGGGGCGCCACGCCACGACCGGGACTGGGCGGCTCCGCCATCTTGGGCTCCGGAGTCTATTTACTCCCGGCTCGCCCCAACCGATCGCGCCGGGGGCGGGGCACGTCACGGCCTCGCCCAATGGGCCGGGGAGGCGCCGGATTGACAGCGAGAGCGGCCAATGGTGGGGCGGGGAGAGGGGGCGGGCCCTCAGGGGATTGGGGGCGGTGGCTCGGCTGAGTGCGCAGGGCGCGGGGGCGGAGCGGCGTGAGGGGAGCGCAGCGGGCAGAGGAGCGGCGGCGCTCTTGAGAAACGCGTTTGTTTGGGAATAAGGAGGGTTTCGACCCCGGCGCATCCCAGGAGTTTCCTTAGCGCCTCAGGTTTTGGGCTTCTCCGTTCTGGGAGCGGCTGACGGGATCCTTGCAGCCCCGCGGGCTGTTCCTGGGAAGGGCGTTTGCTTGGGAATAAGGAAGGTGTGGACTCGCGCCGCTCCCGGTGGATGTACCCCGGAGGCGATGAACCTGTCCCTCGGGACGTTCCGGGGCCGGGGGGGTGCTCTCCACGCTCTTCCCACAGCTTGGAGGGACTCGGATGGAGCCCGGCAGCCCCGGGCCTGGTGGGAGGGAGGCGGCGGTGCCGGCCCGCCGGGCGGTCGGGTGTCTGCCCCAGGGATCATTGACCGCCGCAGGGAACGGATTCCAGCCGTGTCCCTAACAGGAGCCCCCCACTCGTGCCTTTGGCCACTAGAGCTGCCGTAGCCGCGGTTCAGGAGCTGACTGAAATTCCCCTAGGTTCTAGTGCCGGCAGGAAGCGTCGTGGAAGTGCCTGGAAGTTCCTTTGGAGTGTTCGCACTGCCGGGCTCCTGCTCTGGCCAGTCACACCTCGCATCTCCTGGTTGCCGCGGGGAGAACAGAGTCGCTGCCACATTAAACCGAACCTGGCAGGTGGCAGCCAGATGAAGTTGCTCTGAGAAGTTCTGTACACGATGTATCAGCAGGCAAACGAGGTTTTAAGTTTAGATTTTTTTTTTGCTCCACAAAGCATTTTCATTTGAGCTGCCACCGATCAGCCTCAGAGTAAGCTCCTAGCACTTGGTCTATCTCCTCCTTTGTTTCTTTTGAAATTGTAAACCAGGTTGAATGCAGTTCAGTGCTCATCTCAACAGCAGCAAAGAATAGATTTCCTGTATCCAGACAACTCTGCCTTTTCCTAAGATGTTTCAAGTTCCACTACTGTAAGAGTGTATCCTCAAACTATTTCTGGGCCTGATGGAGGAAATGGAATGTGTGTCAAAGGAATAGTCAACTCGCATCCAATCCCAGACTGAAATCAAAGTACGAATCTCCCCATACATAGGCTGGGAAACTAATGGGCCTATGAGTATGAAGGTCATCTTCAACTCCCGTCAGAAATAATTTATTTGTATCAGTTGTTGAGAAAAACCTGTGCCTTTTAATGGATGTCTTTTTAACAGGTTAAGGAAAGATGACCCATCCACCTTAGTCCAGATCAGTGGTTTTGTCTCAGTTGATGTTAGAGGTGCCATAATATGCACACAAGGCCATTGGTATCCCTATATACCAGTCCCTAATGGAAGCTGGATTGTGGTGACTCTAGAGTGACAATTTGAGGCACCCCATGGCACTGTCTCAACTTTACAGGATTTACAGCCAAGTTCATCTTACTTCTATGCCAGTATTGATCCCAAGTCAACAGTATATTAAGGTCACTCAAACTTCAGATAAGTCACAGTCATATTTTTACCTCTTGCTTTTAGGGGCTTTGAGTAACAGAAGAGCAGTGTTTCTTTGTTCTTGAACTAGAGTAAATCCAAGGGCTTGGTTTTGGTTCAAGGAGCTTACCACAACCTCTGTGAAGGAGTACATCACTTTTCTCCATGCAGGAGAATTAGCAAGACTTATTAGGCTAATGAGGCTGGACAGCTGTATAAATAGCTGAATATCTTAATATGTGCACTTATATCAATATTAATAATTTAAGACAATATTTCTGATCTTTATATTGGACATGCTTGGATGTCTTAAAAATGCATTGAATCACAATGCAACCCAGCAATATGAAATTAGACACAAAGATAAAACTGGTGAAAGAACTCATAGCCCAACACTTTATTTAGAACTGACAAATGAACTTACTTATAGTGTGCAGCAAACTTTAACAGCCGACAATATGCTACTAAACTCAGGTCAAGCTGAAGTTGTTTCCTGTGCTTTCTGAAGTAGCATATTCAGCTTGTAAGCATAAGCCAAATTTTTATTAGTGAATTCTTTATAAAATTCAGCTGGAGCAAGATGACAGAGTACCTATTACATGTAATTGTTGCTTGTTGGGAAGCAGTGTGACTAATGTTTGGAGGTTTGCTGCTGCTATCTCATACCCATTTGTCAGCAGAGGAAATTGCAGGGTGCATGAAATTCAGAAGCCGGCTGTGTTTCAGCTCCCGCAGTCATGCTGCTGTATGGGCATTAGAGGAAGGGGTGTTGTCCCTGTCACTTCTTTTGTCACCAATCACACAGATACATTAAAGTGTTCCAACATACCTATGGTGAGCACACATTCCAAAGCATTACAATTACATTTCAGGCTGTCTTTCTTACTACCTGTTTTTACTTTAATTAAACCTCTGGCTGCTGGTGCACATATCCCAGGCAGATGCTCCTGAATGAGACATACAAGATGAGAAACACCAAAACTGCTTCAGAATAAAGAGTGTCCTTAACAAAAAGGGGTTAAATACAAGCAGTATAGGTTGTGTAAAATACAGAATCAGAAATTTGTTCTGATCTTTATTGAAAAGAGAGAAACAGATATGAAGTGATACAATCTTGATAAAGACTGTCAAAACACTGCCCCAAACCAAAATACTTACACAGAAATACAGTAGTGTTTCACGTCACAAGTCCAGTCCCCTACAGAGAGAGAGAAGTGTGAACTGGGAATCTTTGTGGGGATCAGTCCTTGAGGTATTACCAGCACCCCACACACAGAGACCAGAGATCTCATCTCTTTCAGCAGAAGCCTTTAAACTGACTATGGAAATTATATAGATGTTCTTTTATCTATAGTTTTATATGCACTTAGGGAAATCCCCGAAGACCTTCTAAACCATGGAGACCAAAATGAGGTGAAACCATAACAGTAAAAATGTCAGATACAAAGCAACCCAGTATCCAACATGCATTAAAAAAATAAGCTTCCCATGTTATTAACCTGCTTATTGCAAGTGTGTTGCCATTTTAATTAGGATAATTATGAAATGCTGATATAAATGGTTATTAATCAAAGCATTTATTTAAACAAATTAGTGTATACATTCACCTAAACTTAGAATAATTTCAGACATCTATAAAATAAAAAGCTGAATGTAAATGTTGTACTCAGGTTGAGTTACAGTGTTTTGGCTTTATACTCTTAACTGCCTACCAAAATGATGCTTTATAGCCGTACTCAGGTCTCCAAAGAGAAAAACAGCTTTCAGACATGTTATTTAGTCTCTTTATAATTCAAACAGTTTGCTCTCCATGTGCTTACTTCCTTGGTTTGGCATCTGCTCAGTTCTTAAGTCAAGCATGGAAATAATTGTGCCAAGTGTAAATTGAAAACATTTGATAACACTTAGATGCCTTTATGCTGTTTTTTTGTTTGCAAAATTAGCTACATGTAATTTTTAATGTTACTAATTTTTTCTTCAAACTCATTGAAAGTTAATTCATCTTTGGAAATGGAGGTGAAAACTAGCCTTATGTGCACAGAACTGTACTAACAAAGGTGATCTCATAATATAAAAGTGTGATTTATTTTAGAAGAGCTTCATTTTCCATAGTCAGGGTTTTCAGAACAACCAGTGACATCCAAATACTTCTGCAATTACCACCCAAACAATTGAACTAAATGAGACACTGGGGACTAACTTGGCTCATAACTGGGAGCTGCTGACAGCATGACAAGCCTTGCTGCAGGGGGATAAGAGCTGTCCCCTCCTGCTCTTGTCCTTCACAAGGGACAGTGTCCCCACGGCTGAGCAGTGGGAATGTGCAGCCCAGCATCTTTGATCAAACCCGTGACCAAGGCAACAGTTATCCCAAAAAGCCATTTTTCCCCCTCAGAAGCAGCAGATGTCTCTGCTGACTGCTCAGGGCTGGTGGGTTAGACATTTGGCAGTGTGGCAGAGCAGACAACTGGGGACACTCATGGTTTTTATTAAGACTGCTCATCTGCCAACATTTTACAGAATCCATAAAAACCACAAAAAGGAGTTTACACTTCAGGGAGGACCTACAGTACTTGTTTCTTGTTTAATGTTTTTTCAAACAGCTAGACTACTGCTGTAACAGCTCTTCAGTCTTTAGAAATGGTTTTCGCACTTGTGTTTAACATGTGAAACACCCTAACTCCAATATTTCTTTTTTGAAGTGTAGTGTAGTAACAATCACAATAATGGAACAAACTGGAAGGTCTTGATATGCACAATTTTAAATGGTATCTGCGTGAGGTTGAAAAGGCAATTTGCTTAGCTCTTGTCTTCATAGCTTCTTGAATATTTGAAAGATCTTTAGAATTTTTCAATACAAAAGATACAAAATGACTAAAATCAGTATGAAAGCAAGAGGATGCAAGCCAAGCAAAACTGTATTTTCTTACATATGGAGGAGATATTAACCTCCATTATTATTCCTTAACAAGCAGTTCTATAAGGTATGCATACATCTTATTGTTGGCAAAGAGTTCAAGTATGTATGGATTTCCTGTCTTTTTTTTTTTTTTTTTTTT